AATATACAGTAAAATAGGCTTCATTCAAAGCGTTAAATCGTGTCTTCATTTCGTCACAGGGTTTGATTAACCAAAAAATGGAAATGTAGAAAATTAATGAGTGATAACTTTTATATTTGAATGTTGATTTTCAGAGTGATTTAAAAATTATACTTTTTAATTCAACTGCTTTTCATTTATTTACGAATATGAATACATATTATATTTTCTATTTATTTTTTGTTTAACTAGATAATTTAATAGTAAAATCAGTTAGAGCTTGGTAATTTTTTGTCCGTTTGTTACAGTGGACAAGGAAAATAACATCATAGACGAATTAATGGAATATAAAATGTTGTTTATTATCGTAAATAAACAAACACACGATTTAAACAATATAATTATTGATGATACATAATCCAAAAAAATAATAATTTCAAATATAAAACTTCGATTCCATTTTCTTCGATGAAGTTAAGGATGTGAGAATTGGATTTATCGATTTCAATGATGTCTGTTTTTCGAGCAAATTAAACTCGCTATGATTACCTCCCATTATATAAATTATTATTATTATTTTTATTTTCTTTGATTTCTGACGTTTACACATTTCTTTCCGGGTCCCGCCCAGGTACCTAAGGTTAGAAATGGCGCCATGACAGTTTCCACTGACAAAAAAAAAATTACATAGTTAAAGCCCTTCGTAAGGTGTGGGATGTACTAGTCAGAAAAATTTTTTGTATCTACTTGAGGCATGGACTTCCAGGAATCCCTTCAATTAGTCTACTGCAATCTTTTCCAACCAGTCTTAGGGCTCCAACTACAACAGGATTGTTGATGTTCCCATATGCCACATTTTCGAGATATCTACTTTAAGGTCCTTGTACTTTGACAACTTTTTGAATATCTTCAAAGATACATTGCAGTCAGCAGGGACTGCCATATCAATAAGGAGGCATCGTTTTTGTTTGTGGTCTTTAATAACAATATCTGGTCGGTTGGCCTTGATTGTTCTGTCAGTGTGCATTGTGTAATCCCATAGAATTGTAACAGGTCCTATCTCCGTAACCGGGTCTGGGTGGTGTTCATACCAGTTTCTTTCAGTTTTCTTCCCGTAGAAGTTGCAGATTTTCCAGTGCAGATATTGGCCCACTCTGTCATGTCGGGTTTTATATTCAGTGGGTGCCAACACCGTACAACCTGATACAAGATGATCAATCGTTTCTGGATATTTATCACAGAATCTGCATTTTGGGCTGACACAATAGTTTAGTATATGTGCTTGATAATTCCTAGTTAGCAAGCATTGGTCCTGCGCAGCAAGGATAAAACCTTCAGTTTCCGCTTTCAACCCTGCACTACGTAGCCACTGATGGGTACGTGTTTTGTCTACGTCAGCTTGTTTGGTACGGTATTATTATTATTATTATTATTATTATTATTATTATTATTATCTTTCGCCCTTAACCGCGGAAGGAGCCGTTGGGCACCGTCGTGATAAGCTGTCCACCATACTCTACCATCTCTCGCGGAAGTATGCCAGAGCCTGCGTCTACGTGAATAGTTTCTTAGTGTGCTCATCAAAGCTGACGAGGATTTCTGATGCATACCAGGACAAATAAAGAAACATTTGGTCATCGTGGTGTCTTGCGCGATTTAACTGAGCCCGTCTCTCTACAAATAGTTAAATTTAAAAAAAAAGAAAGCTTGCAGTCTTCAGTAATGTATATATGTTAGGGATTTTTAAGAATTAAATTCGATATAATGAGCTCTACTGACAGAAAAGATTATTTTTATTTCTTGAAATATTCCCAAGAGTTTAGACAGAGGAATCAAATGTATGACTTATAGTTTTCAGTGTTGAGGTTATTTGTTGTTTAACTGCAACCACAAAAATTAACATCGCTATTAAGATTTAAAAAAAAATCATTTTCCCCGACTTCCGTTCTTTTGTTTTTGCCATCACTAGAAAAGCTTTACATTTATATATCCAATGGGTGAGAAAGCTAATGTGTCGTTGCAGTTGATTGGTTGTCACTTTGTTTCACCTGTTATTTTGTCTGTGTATATGCAAATAGTCGATGCGGTTAGGACGAGATTCTGTCAGAAGCACTTCTAAACCGATACACGCTTCCAGGGAGCAAAAACAAAAAAAAAATGACTGAGAATTTATCAAGAGAAAAATATATTTTCCAAATTGCGTACCCCTTGAGAAAATCTGACGAGGATTTCTGATGCATCTCAGGTCAACTAAACAAACATTAGGTACAAACTATACACAAACACTGGCGCATGCGCGAGAACACACACATATGATATGAGACAGTTACCGATCCCGCAAGTATGTGCGTTCTTTCACACAAACTGTAACACTGATCCGCTCAGCATGAGACTAAACCAAAGGTTAAATCTGTTGGTGATGGGAGGGAAAAAATTAAGGCCAAAAAAAAAAAATAGTAGCTATAAATGCCCTGACATTAAATATAGTAAACATAACAGCGATAGTAGGAAAAAAAAACATTTGTTACCACCCCACCATTAATCTAAATGGTTAGCACTAAGTTAGGGCAGACGTTTCTCAATTTAACTGAGAAATATTTTCCTAGTAATAATCCTCTAAGTAAGATTTTATAACATAATACACTTAAATTAATTTGTAGTTGTACAGATAACCTGGAAAAATTATTGAAAACTATAGTAATAAAATTTTAAATTAATACTTAAACCAAACTCATAGAAATCAATAATGATACAAACTTGTGTTAACATAGAAACCCTAACGACTCTCCATTAGAAAATAGGTGTCTAACAGATCCCATTGTTTACCTAAGTACTATTTCATCTAGGGAAAATCCAAAAGTTAAAAAATCTTATATTGGCAGAACCAAAAATTCCTTTAAAACGAGGTGATATCACCACATATCATCTTTAAAAACAATGCGTATCTGACTTAATTTGTTAATCTAGTCACACCCACAAGTATATTTTTAATTCTGACCTTAGGCCCCGAATTTTAACTTTCTGAAGAGGTAACGATGTGTTTTCAAATTTCCCAATTAAATCATTTTTATCAGACGTTATCTTCCATCGCCTGAAGAAGAACCATTATAGTTCTGAAACGTGAAATGTTTTTTATTGTAATCTATTATAATAAAAATATTAAATACATATATATGATTTTTTTTTGTTACCAGAGGCAGGTTTTCCCGATTAGCTAAAATTCACAATTCGATTTTTGTCCTTCATTTGTTGACAATTTTTTTTGTTTTTTGTTTTCTGAAAATTCTGTTTTTACAAACTGATTTATTTTTTTTTTTATTTTTTACGCTTATCAACACATTATGGGCTATTCAAAGTCGAAACATGGATTGTAGGTGGTTGCGTACAGTACCTGGTGTTCCCAACGGGGCAACTCAGTCTAAGTGATGACCAAGATCGTCGCTGCTTAACTTCAATGTTCGCATGACAACCGGTGTATCCTACGTGATGTAACCGTAAGCGTCTTTCCAAAATATCCTAACATTTGTTACTCAGATTGATTTGTGATCCTTTACCATCCAAATTTGTTAATGTTCTTCCATTTAATCGCACAAATTGTTTCTTTTATCTTTTTTATCTTCATTAATGCTTGTGCGTTTTAAATTCTCTGTATGTACTTTCTGCAGTATATATATATATATATATATATATATATATATATATATATATAGAGAGAGAGAGAGAGAGAGAGAGAGAGACAGACAGAGAGAGAGAATGTTTGTTCCTGAGATCTAGCTTATATATTTATTTATGCAAGACAAAACGATTAAAGAGTTAAAAGTCGTACTTTTGATAATGAGGTGTGTATACTTCCAGAAAGGTCCATTTATTCCGACACCTCCCTGTTGCCCGTATCCGTCTAATCCTAAAATAGGGATTTGCTGTCTAGTGGGACAAACTCTGGAATACTTCCTAGGGGTTTTCATGGTCCACAGCATTCTACTGTCTTGCAGACACTTTTCCACCATGAAATAATTATCTATTGAAAATGCTAATAGAGAGAGAAATGTACAGTTTCTAAAAAAAAAAAACAATTCAAATGCATATTAAATCCCTTGTATTTGTCACAAAGCTGACATTTCCCATTAAATATTAGTGTAGTGGAATTTTCAATTAAAAATTACTTATTTTACTATTTGTGTTACCTGTGTATGAATATATTATTAATATACAAAGAATAGGATAACATTATCGCACAGTTCTATGTTAATATTTTGCTGTTCATTATTTATAATCAGAATAGTAGGAAAATGTCGCTCAAACGTAAGCCCGAAAAGCTAGGGTAATGAGTTTACATAAAATTCGAAAATGTGTTTAGATATTTTACATCTCTGATCTAAATACAAATGGGGTATATTTAAGGAAATTTATTAGAATTAATGTCCTCCTAAATAAAATTTTCACCCGCAAAATATATATGAAATAACTGAATTTTTGAGAGAAAATATCATAACTACATACAGTTTCATACGAAACATACCCATCACATGTAAATAACCCTCTTAGGGAAGCAAAGGGCGCCTAAATGGTCACTTTAAAATGGCTTCATTTATTGTAGTGATTTTCCAAGCATAGCTTAGATGTGGCAAAAGGCCGAAAGTAGGGGCACCCAGTGAGGTTCAAACTCACTACTCAGTCATAATTGTTCTAGCGAGTCAAGTTTGCTTACCATTACTCCGCCTCGAGGTAACCATGGTTTCTTATATTGTATAGTTTTGTTGGATGATTTTGTTTAAAAGCATATCAACAGCTATTTTCTTTTTTTTTAAATCTAAATATTTTTGTACACGTTTTTTTTTTATTTTAGATAATAATAATAATTTAATGATACAAGTATTACTATTTAACCCATAGTTTTTTTTTGGGGGGTGGAAGTTGGATTCATACCTTTTCCATGTGTATATGCACGTAAGTGAATATATCGAACCTAACTGGATTAACAATTGCGAGACATTATCCATTTCACCACCCAGACATCCATGCTTACAGCGCATGGTATTCCCAAAAGATCACCCATCTAGGTACTGAACAGGCTCGACATTTCTTAACTTCCGTGACCGTACGGGAACCAGTGTTTTAACGTGATACGGACGTAAGCCATATTATGTATGTTGGCAAACGTTGACGAGAATGAATGACCATCCATGAAAAAAAAAAATATATCAGCGAACGTCAAAAATTAATTGCTGATATGAAAACGATACCTTCCACACGAATAAAAAAATGCTTTGGTTATTTTCCCTGTGTTACAACATGGGTCAGATCATCGCGAAAGGCCGGAGAAGTGGATGGCGGAAATATAATATTGTAAATTTAAAAAGAAAATGATTCTCACTGATATGTTCCTCATTATTGTAATGTGTTCGATTGAAAATAACATAAATAATAACACTTCATCCCAGAAAAGCATACAGAGATTTGGAGTGAAGTATTAAACGAATTAGGTCAAATTCGGAACCACTCTGCTGTCAGAAACGATCAATTCAAAATGGTTAATGCCAAGAGCATGGATGTACACATTAAACAAAATGGAAACATTTTTTTTTTCTTTCGGTCTTCTTTAATTAATTTTCATTTCATTATTCATAGTGTTTTTTTTTTTTTATTTATTTAAAGTAAAATAAAGGAATAATATTCAGTAATAAAAACGCAGGAGTCAAAAATAATTAGATTTTTAATAAAATAACATAATTTTAAATAATTATTCAAAATTTAAATTTCTGCCAGTATATTAAATCGACATCTCCAGATTTTTATGAAAAATATCCAAAGGGATTTTTTTAAATTTTAAATTTTATTTTATTTAATTTCATATCATGTCAGAATTTAAGTCATCATGTCTCTCAGCAGACGTTTTCTTTATTATCTTTAAATTTCCATATCTAGAGAATAATGGATTAGTTTCCAACGTTTGAATTAATACTAGAGTATTATTTGACGAAACCTAGAAGAGGACAGAATATACTTAATTCTCAGTTACACCAGACCATCAAAGAAGCCAGATGCATCAGCTAATTTGCTCGATAGATTACATTCTAACAAGGCCCGTACTTCAAACCATATCAGTAGATGCTCTCGACATGGAAACACTTGGGTGAATTAACGAAATGTCGGGTGTATACGCGTGAAAAAAAAGTAGGAAATTTAGTTATACAAACACTCACCTGACAGAGAAAAAGAATGAGACACTCATGTAATGGCGATATGTAGAACCCAGATTCAGTGAACTCAAAATAACCTCATTTAGAGTAATTGATGAAGCTCGGAGTTAAATAAAATATATATATATATATATATATATATATATATATATATATATATATATATATATATATATATATATTGTCTTTTTATGTTGACATGAATATCGTCTAATTTTAATTATGTTTAAATAACTAGGTCCTGAAGAAGGTCTACTAGACCGAAACGTCTGACGTCTACATTGAAACAACATTAAAACAGCATACTTGCATATTCTGATTTTTGTTTTTCCATATTATTCTTCATATATATATATATATATATATATATATATATATATATATATATATATATATATATATATATATATATATATAAACAACGTCATAGAAGTCACTAGGATGAAAGGGGTTGCTGGGAATTGCAGAGACGACAATAAAAGGACATGATTAAATGAGACATATAAAAATGATTGACAGTGCATATCAGTTATGGGAGAAGAAGATGACAAGGAAACAGAATGCTGGAAGAGAGTTCCACAAGTGAGAACTGCGAGAAAAATGCAAGGATAAATCTTACGGTTACAAGTAGAAGTTTCAGCGGTGAACTCATGTGACCTAACTGCCAATCTAGTACAGCGGCTACATTCGAGGAATTGAGGTACTAAAGAGGAACGCAATATTTATTTTGAATAATGTAAAAAAAAAACGGGCACAAGGCGAAAACAGGGGAAAGTTAATCTTCAATCAGTCTTAGATTTTAAAAAATACATCTAGCCATGGTTACTGAGCCTAACATAGCGCGCAAAAACTTTCTTACTTTCCGTTCCTATTACAGACAGCATAATACCTCGAAGAATCTACGGTGGTTTTCTAAATATAGATTACATGTGGCACAAGACCGAAAGTGTGGGGAACCCACTGCGGATCCAACTAAATATTCAGTGGTAATTGATCTAGTCAGAGAAACTTGCTAACCATTATACCACGTAGAAGTGCCCTTGATTTTCTAAGCGTAGCTTAGAAAAGGCACAAGGCCCAAAGTGTGGAGCACCAGTGTGGATCAAATCACTACGTAATTGATCTAGCGTGACAAGCTTATTAACCATTACATCACGTCGAAGTGCCCACTGAAGTCTCTATATAGTCCTAACTAGTTCCCATATGTACAAATTGTTTGCGGTGGGGGGTGGGGATAAAAAAGGGGGAAGCCCATCATAGCAAATAATATGAGGATATTTATAGAGAAGACACAGTGAAGCTATGTTACGCCTGTAGGGAAGAGATTAAAGTCGAAATGCCGGGTCAGAACGGTTAAAATTGCAAATTCTTCTTTGGATGTTTTTAAGTCTTATGTGAGATTAAGTCTTGTATTCTCATTAAAAAAAAAAGTTTAGCAGTCGCCCTTCTCCTTGACTGACCGCCATCCAAGGCTAGACCGACACATTGATGTTGTTATGTAATCGACATCGAGGTTGATGAAGTGGTGCATTCTTACCGTTATTAAAGTTGTTAGTACGAAATTGACTGCAGTAGACTACGCTCATCAATTCTAGATTCCGTGTGGATAATCATTACGCTAAACGCACGAAGGGAAGTAACTCTTGCTATTAATCATTTTAAAAGGTTTTTTAGGTTGATTTTGTTGGTGCTACACGATGGAAGAAAAGTAATTTCGTCTGTCCACTCAGTTCAATGCTTTGACCAGCAAGCGATAAGTAGTAACACGTTCAATCTATTGCGTGTGTAATGAATCACAGTCATAAAAATAATGTAGCCCTGCGGTGAGGGAGTCCGCCATGTTTTCCAACGTAATGACTGCTTAATATAATAAGCTGTAATAAATGTTCTGTTACGGGTAATGGTAAACGCAAACGAATTTCCGGCAAACATCAAAGAACGAATGGTCATTAGCACTCACACAAACGCATACACACATACGCACACACACACACACACACACACACACACACACACACACACACACATGCAGAAAGAGACACACAAGTCAACATACAATCGCACACACGCAAAGTTTACGACATTTCGTGCGTTTCTGCTTCAAAGGTAACAGGGATTTTTGGTGTTTTAATAACGGAGGCACTTTACTGGCAAATTTTCAACTAAGTATCTTTTCATCCGTCGAAATGTTTATGACAGTATTTTTTGTTTTTTGTGGAAGTAAAAAAATTCATAGAAAGTGGACTGTGCTATTTGAAATAAGCAAAACTCTTACTTACTTATATTAATATCGGTGGATATATTTTTTCTTTTAATTAGAATTTGTATACGTAGAAATACGAATATATATATATATATATATATATATATATATATATATATATATATATATATATATAGCGAGAGAGAGAGAGAGAGAGAGAGAGAGGGGAGGGCACGGTGCAGTAGTGGATAGCGGCTCGGACTGAGGAATCGGAGAGCTAATTTTGGTTCTATAGCGTTGGATGGTAACTGGAGTAGGAGAAGGAAAACTATGAATTCAAAAACTGCGGAGTTTCGTTTGGGGAGTTTGTGGTACGGAGTGCACCAGATCTCTGTATTCGGTCCTTCATAATGCGTGATTGGTTCTGTACAAAGCCTTCACCACTATAATTGAGTCAAATGTGCTGGTGTATCGGCTGTCGATTCCCAGTAACTGATCTGCTTGACACTCATACGTAGAATAAGACGGAAGAGTCCACCATATATATATATATATATATATATATATATATATATATATTCTACACACACACACACACACAGACACACACACACACACACACACATATATATATATATATATATATATATATATATATATATATATATATATATATATATATTGGAAAAAAACAGAGATCTGCTCGGAGTGTTCTGATTTTAAGTCCAGCGTTCACCAATGTCTTTGATGTTAAAAAAAAAAAAAAAAATAGTCTGGTCATCGAATCTGTTGTGGTAATTTGTGCCTCTTGATCAGCAGTAATTGCAACGCATTTTCCTTAGAGACAGTATTGTTTTTTTCTTTCCCAGATGAAGTTCGCAAACCTAACACATATCGGAGAAACTCGTTGCCATTTAAAAGCTCTACCATTTTGTCCCATTACCACTACCTGACAGTTCCATATCTCTCTTCCCCATTCACTCTATCTTTTTTCTCACTCTCTACTTCTCTCTTAGTATATATATATATATATATATATATATATATATATATATATATATATATATATATATATATATATATATGTGTGTGTGTGTGTGTGTGTGTGTGTGTTTTATTGCCGCTCTGCTCATTTGTACATCTTTCTCTGTTTCAGTCAGCTATCTATCTATCTATCGATCTATCTATCTATCTATCTATCTATCTATCCCAGCTTTTATATCTATCTATCTATCTATCTATCTATCTATCTATCTATCTATCTATCTATCTATCCCCGTCTTTATCTACCTCAGCATCTATCTATCTATCTATCTATCTATCTATCTATCTATCTATCCCCGTCTTTATCTACCTCAGCATCTATCTATCTATCTATCTATCTATCTATCTATCTATCTATCTATCTATCTATCTATCTCTTTCCCACTCTCTTTTCCACTCTCGTTCTCCCACTCTCTCTCCCCTCTCTCTCTTTCCCACTCTCTCTCTCACACACGGACTCTCTCTCTCCCTCTTTCTCTTTGCAATAAAATATAAGGTTTATCGTGTTGGATTATATTCATCCTCATTAATTAGTGTCGATAAAAAATTAAGAAAATATAGAAAATTGTAGTACATATGCCAAATGTTGTATCCACATAAAAAAGTCGTTTATTTCGATGATGACTTATAGGCGAGGTATATATTTCCAATTGCGGTCATAAATGGCGTAGTACAGTCATCCGTTCT